ATTTCAGCTCTTTTATTGAAACAAGTCCCTTCCCCCTCTGTTTTATAATTGAAAATGAAAGCAAGGAGTAATTTAAATTACCATGATCCTGCTCTTTAATAATAACTGGGAAATTCTTATATATATATATAATATCATATATAATTCTTAGAAGGGGAGACCTTCAAACACCTCCTAGTTCTTAAAGGAGCTCCAAGAGAGCTGGAGAAGGACTTTGGACAAGAGCATGGAGTGACAGGATGAGGTGAAATGGCTGATAGAGGGCAGGGTTAGATTAGATACTAGGGAGAAATTGTTCCCTGTGAGGGTGGTGAGACACTGCACAGGTTGCCCAGGGAGGCTGTGGGAGGCTGTGGCTGTCCCAACCCTGGCAGTGTTCCAGGCCAGGTTAGGTGGGACTTGAAGCAACCTGGGCTAGTGAAAGGTGTCCCTGCCCATGGCAGGGGGTTGAAAGTAGATGATATTTAAGGTCCTTCTAACTCAAACCATTCTGTGATTCTCTAAAATCAAGGGACATCTTTGTGGGACTAATGGAAGCTGGATGTGCATTCTGAACAGGTGTCTTTTGGTTTGTGTTGTCATTTTAAGGTTACAACAGGAGAGGGAAGTCAGACTTCCCTCTGCCTGCCATTGATCAGCATGTGCTGGACATCTCTTTCATGTCACAAGGATGATAATCGGTCAGAAGTGATTGGGATCCTGAATATGGGATTAGGGAAAATATAAAAATTAAATACTATTTAATTATCTATTCAGGTCTCAATCTTTGTACTGCAGAGAGAAAAGGGTGTAGTTGTCCTCTTATATCCTGGAACAGTCCTCTGGCCAATGGGATCAGCATAGAAAATGCTCATCAGGCTCATCCCTGCTCTGCTTCAGACTGATCTCCTGTCAGTATTATTAGCATTTCTAAATGAAAGGTGACACTGGCTACAAACTGTGCCCCAGGCTTGGAGGGAGAAAATGTTACTGAAATCAAGTATTTTGATAAAACTCCCTTGATAAAGTGATTCTGTAGTTGGAAGTAATTAATTAACATTTGTGCTGGTTTGGGCTGGGTTAATTTTCTTCACTGTGGCTACTAGGGGGCTATATTTTTGGATTTGTGCAGAGCACAGGGTTGATAATGCAGAGATGTTTTTCTTATTGCTGAGCAGAGCTCACACAGAGCCAAGGCCTTTGCTGCTTTCCTCACTGCCACACTGGGGAGGGAGTTGGGAGTGAATGGGAGATTGGGAGGAGACACAGCTGGGACAGGTGACCCAACCTGACCAAAGGGATATTCCATACCATAGCACATCATGCTCAGGGTCTAAAGCTTTGGAAAGAAGGAGGAAAGGGAGAACATTTGGAGTGATGGTGTTTGTTTTCCCAAGTAATTGTTACACGTGATGGTCCCTGCTCTCCTGGAGGTGCTGAACACCTCCTGCCCATGGGAAGCACTGAACTTACTCCTTGGTTTGCTTTGCTTGTGTGTGTGTATTAAACTGTCTTTCTCTCAACCCAAAAGTTTTCTAGCTTTTACCCTTCTGATTCTCTCCCTGATCCTGCTGGTGGGGGAGTGAGCAAGAAGCTGTGTGGTGCTTGGCTGCTCACTGGGGTTAAACAAATTAAAAATGGCTTAATACCCTCAACTTTTCATCATGTAGAAGGGGAGCAGGACTAAGCTCAGACACATATACGTACCTGTTGGTACAGCCAGCACACTCACCTGCAGCATGGCTTTGGCACAGCTCACTTTTAACTCTGACCAGTGCAGTCTCTAACACATTATCTTGCACCCAACACTAGTTTGCCTTTCAGTCCTCAATGCCAAATGCTTCTCTGAGACAACAGGTTGATGGTCAGCATTGCCTTCTGCAGCAGCATGTGCCAGCTGAAAAGAAGAGGATGAGGGAAGGACCCAGGTAGGGCTGTATGTGAGCTCCAAGCTGGTGAGAGGACATAAAACCCTGAATGATCTGGGTCAAAGAAGCAGAACTGCAGTGCTGTCCAGCTGTCAAAATGCCAGTAGGAAGATGGATTGTTCTTGACAGGTAATATTTGAACATCTAAGCAAATACATCAACAAGGTCTGTAAATCACAGAATGGTTTGGTTGGAAGGGTCCTTTAAAGGTCACCTGGTCTGCTCAGCCCTGCAATGAGCAGGGACATCTTCAGCTAGGTCAGGTTGAATCTGACCTTCAGTGTTTCCAGGGATTTGCATTTGCCACCTCTCTGGGCAACCTGTTCCAGTGCTTTACCTCCCTCATCATAAAAAATTTCCTCCTTGTATCTAGTCTGAATCTGCCCTCTTCTAGTTTTTTAACCAAGCTGTTCATATGTACAATTATACAGAAAGATTTAATCTAAGTAATGTTAATTGTCTTAAGTAGCTTTTATACAGGCAGCATCTAGTAAGACATACTGATTTTAAGTACAGTATAGAAAAAACTGAAAACTAGAAGAAATTATTTTCTCCTTTCCTCCTAACTGGTTTAGGACTGTTGCTTTGGTGTGTGCTTGGTAAGTCAGCCTGGGCTGGCACTGCTTCCTCTCCTTAATATTATCACAACTATCAGTCACATCTGCAAATGTCCATACCAAATAAATAGACCAAACCAGATTGCCCATTTGGCAGTGGTTGATGAATATGATGCAAAAATGCTTTATTTCTGTTCACATTAACTTTTTGACAGAGAAGAATGATAATTTCCAAACTGTTTAAATTAGTTTCTCATGCACCAGCAGCTGCTATGCATTTACATAAAGTCCTGTTGCTTTTGCAGAAACTTCCAAACACTAGAGCTGGTATTAAATATGTCTTTAACAATCTACTCAACACATCATTAAATGTTTTGTTCTAATATCTGCTCTATCCTTTAAAAAGTCACAGGTTTTACTTTCAGCAAGTTACACTCCAGTCAGACATCTGTTCTGGAATCTCCTGTGTAGTAGGACTCAAATTTTGAAGACATCTCTCTTGGAGAGGGTGGGGGTTTATTTTCTCTTTTTTTAAAGAAAAAAAAGCTTTTTAGAAGCCAAATCCCCCTGAGATGAATAACACTTCTCCCAGGTACAGAAGCTTACAAGAAGCTACAGTGCAAGTTCAATAAGTCACTTTCATAATGAAAAAAACCTCCATGTTCTGCACTATTAAGTAGCCTAAAGAGGCTTTTAGTTACTGCATTATCTGAAGCTCTGATAGTCGATTTAGGCAAAAAGATTATCTAGTTTGACTTGATAAGATTACTGTAACGGAAGAGAAGCTGCTCTGAACAAGATCTTAGGGATTTTTGTCGAGCTATTAGACACAAAAATAATCTCTCCTTCTCATTAACATTGTACAGTTAAAATGTGAGTAACTTTAAAAGTAAGAGCCTGTTCACCAGTGCTGCCATTAAGGGCAAACTTACCACTCCCAAAGCCCAGTAAGTAGCTGCAGAGATACAGATTATGGAGGGAAGTGCAGAGTGTGGATATCACAGCCATTAATGAAAGTTTCCCAAGAACTTTACTTTAAAAAAAAAATGTAGAAAAGTTTACAGAGCTAGATCTGTCCTGGGAAGATCCAGAACACAGGAAAATATTTCAAGATCCAACTTCCCAGGCAAACAGGAATAATTACTAGCCTATGTATGCTCAAAGGATGAGTATTTTCATTAATTAGAAGTCTGTCCTCTCTTCTTTCTCTCTCACACCTTTTACACCTAGTCTAAGTTAAATGGATAATTAACAGTGTCATGACTAATTAAAAGATCATGGGATCCCTGGAAATTCTTGGTTAATTTTAAGAACATAGCAGTGAAGAGGAAGACAACAGGAAAGCTGAACCTTCTATTACCCACAAATAAGACACCAGAAGAGATCTGACATTGCAATCTGAAATACTTTAATGTTTTAATACAAGTGGAAGGCTAAGGCAGCTATATACATTCTGTGCAATAAACACAAGCTCTCTCTTACCAACACCAGCTCCATCCTACTGGCACAACTCCTGGGGAATGCACTGCATTCAGCAAGTTCAGTACTAGAGAGCACAGGTTTTTCTACTAAGATAATAAATTAGAAATCACAAAGTTATTATTTTCTTAAAAACAGACTGAGTAAGCTACTCAGTACACTGTGAAGAGGGACAGGTCTCAGAGGGAACTGAGTTGTGACATTAATTCTTTGAAATCCTGTCTTGTACAGAATCTGTTCATATAGACATCTAAAGATGTGATAAATTTGCTGTATCTTTCAATTGCCATTCAACAGTATATTGAGTTAATCTTCCACTGCATGACAATATTCAAATACCACAGAAATTTTTTTTAAAATGTAACTTGGGGGGGAAAAAAAACAATATTCAAATACCACAGAAATTTTTTAAAAATGTAACTTGGGGGGGAAAAAAACCCCCACAAAATTGATAAATGTCTGGCTGTTGTAAAGATAAAGAATTTGGCTATAGTGTGTTGTGGAGTCTAGCTTTAGGTATTGACAGTGTCACAGCATCCAAGAGGAAAGGATTAATCACCAGCACACTGCTAACTTGTCTCGTTTTCCAGTTTTTGTATCTCATTTTGTCCAGCCTCTGCGAGGTAAGATAAGAGTCTTTTATAGGCTTCTCTGTTTGGGGGGGAAAAAAAAAAAAAGTAACATGTTACTTAAACAATCTCACACATAATTCCCAAACAATTGTTCTAACATGTTACTTAAACAATCTCACACAATTCCCAAACAATTGTTTACACATTGGGATAGTAAAACATGGTAACTTCTCCCCACCCCATTCAACTGCTCTGTTTGCTATCAATTTTTAGCATGACCAGGTTGGAGGAAGAATAAGGATTGAATTGTTTCTGGCTAGAAGTGTTGTGAAGATGCTTAAAAATCTACTTGTTTAGTAAACTGCTGTGAAATAGAAATTCTTCCTTTCAAACCAGGGAGCTCCCAAGGCTGAGATGAGATCAACATATTCAAATTTCATGTTTGCTCTCTCATTTCTGCCTGAGAAATCTGTGACTCACTCCCATCACAGCACAGTGATGTGAGCCACTGACACATTCAGACCATCATCTTCAACCAAGGACAACGACTGGTTCAAAATAGACCTGGAATTCAGAAGGCAACTGTCACTCAAGTGGATTTGCCAGAGGAGTGCATATGTGTTGATGAGACTTTTCACCTTAAGTTCATTCTAATACTCTCCAACCTAGACAATGTAATTATTGTTAAAGCACTGCCTCTGACATTTAGGTCTTTTCTAATTATCTATTTTTGTCATGAAATATTAACTTGAGCAAACCAAACTGCAGTTTTCCTACTCGTTCCTTGCAATAACAACACTGGACATCACCACTATAAGCATCTAATGCAACTTCAGAACCTTGCTGCTTTTAGATATATATATCTGTGTGTTTGCAGCTTAATGTCTACAATAATTGCACAGAATATAATATAATCTTATTTAGTGGCTGGGACTGAAGAGAAAAAAACAGGTATTAGTGTTCTTACAATAAAAAGCTTAGAGCTGTGTGGGTAATGGAGCACATTCTAAATACAAATTATTAATACAAAACATCAACAACAGATTAGATAATATATACATTAAGTGATGAGGCTATAAGAAACTTAGCTCCTCTTGGCAGTCTCCAAGCAAATATTTCAGGAAGCTCAAACCACCTACTATTTTGTAGATAATGGGATGAAATACATTAGCAAAACATGAAAAGCAGTTGGTATAAAAATCCTGCATATAATAGCACATCAGCCTGACCCTGGGTCAATTCTCTTAAATAACAGTAAATGTAGTTGTTAGTAGTGAATAACAAAAAGTGAATAATATAATTACAAACGAGTTAAATCTATTTTTCATTCAGTGGGATATTAATGCCCTGTGACTGCCAGGGTAACTCATGAGACACTGAAGGGCAGTGTTCAAGGCCAGGTTGGATGAAGTCTTGAGCAACCTGCTCTGTTGGGGAGATGTCCTTGCCCAGGGCAGGGGGTTGGGACCAGGTGATCTCTAAGATCCATTCCAACCCCTAAAATTCTATGATTCTTGCACAACTCTGTCTCTTGGGGTTTTTATAGCCCAAGCCCTGCTGCCACACACCTCAAAACTTCCCCAGTGTGGTGTGGTTAAGATCCTACCCTATGAGTAGTCCCAGGATGTGAATTAATGCTAACACTAAGTCCAGTTCCTTGCCCTGACCACATGAGAGCCAAGGACAGCCTTCCTGGGAGCAGCACTACCAGGAGAAAACCCTTTTGGCTCAGGTGCCACACTGGGCAGAGCTTCCTGGAGTTTTGTAACAGAACTTATATAGATGCTGAAAGTTCAGTGCTGCATCTGCACCCAGAGACACCACCATCTGTGCAGAGCTGCTCCCCTCATGTGCCATTTCCTCCTAATGCCAGATGGATTCACAAGTCAAATATTTCTGTCCTAAGTTCTTGGGGGGCACACGGAGGAAGTGTGAGTCTGCTGTGCCAGCCTTCCCTGGACACCCACAACTCTTCTATGTTTAGATCAGGAGAGAACTCTTCAAACCAAGCTCAGATCATACCTGATTATACCATAACTTTACATACGACCCATAAAGTCATCTCAAGTAGGGATTGACAGGAGAATTCTTTGTGGCAGGAATTCTTTTACACTGTTTTGCAACATATACTGCAGTGAGCAGAGATGACCTGGCTTCACATAACTTCTACTGGGGCCTGTGGACCCTAGTACCAAAACACGTCTGGAAATATTTAGCAAATACAGATAGCTTAAATCCATGAAAGCAACGGGAGATTTCTGTCTCAACACACTTCAAAAAATCACCCATTTTTGAGCATCTGTGCTGCTGGCTGACACTGCTTTCTTTCAATGGAATAAACTTCTCCTGCTCATTGTAAAAAAACAATATAAAATAAAACCCAAACCTCTGTGCAGCATTTTTTCCAAGGCCTTGTTTGTGCTCCGAATCCTTCAGAGACTGTGTGATTGTGGGAATCAGGCTGGTAACCAACGTCTGATCCAAGACTGCCACAGTTTCTAGGATGCTGAAAACACGGTGATCATAGACTGCAGTGTAGTCCTGGATAAACTGCCTGAGGGGGACACAGAGGCATTTAATGCAGGGTCAAAACGAGATGCAGAGAACACGCCGAGAACAACTGAAGAGTCTAATCAGAACAAGCAACTTGACAGCATGGCAATTTTCATATTGTTACACTGAAATACTCTACCTGGAATCCTTTCCTTAAACAAAGCCATGCTTTTGAAGCCTTAATGCTAAAAATCCCACACGTTTATTTGCAAGTAAACTGGCAGATTCTGCTGCTGTTTCACCAGGGCTGACTTCTTCCAGAGCACTTTACTCTCTTAGTGTGTCTGAATGCAAAACTAAAGCATGTATTTATTACTTAATTGATAATGAAAGACTAACCAAACAAGAGGAGTTCTAGGTTCAAATCTGCAGAAACAACCTTGGCATCTCTTATAAAGCTCCACAGGATCTTAAGCAGGGCAGACCACTGGATGGGAGTGCACCCATTTGTCTTCCTGAGGGTTTGAGGTCTTTGAAGATCACAGATTACATCTGAATCAGCAGTAACACCCCAGGGATGACACATCCCATGGAAGTGATGTATCATGTACAGACTGGCATGCCCACAGACATCCATTCTTCTTTCACTGAGTCTCTCTGGAGCTTTCATCCAGCCCTGACCCAACACAGCAGCAGTGCTTAGGGTTGCAAAATGCCACTAGGTGTTAGGTCATGCAGCTCTTACTGCAGCCATGTGAGAAACAGGATTTATTCTGCACGGGCATGAAATAAGCATGATTTACTTTATAATAATCTATTGATTTTTGTCAATAATCTGTCAAAAAATCAAATAAGAAAGCTAAGTTTGTACTATGAAGATTTGATCTGCATTATACACACTTTAAATTAGGCACATGCATCGTTCACAGCACCATCAGTGTTTTTCCATTTGACCATTCCTGGTTTTCCCACTGCAGCAACAACACAACTGTCTCCTGTATCCCTTTCAAAACAGTACCTCATCCATGAGGAAGCAGGTACATTTCTCTCTCCTATGTTTTTGCTCTGGCTTTTTGGCCAAGCTGTGTTCGAAACCAGTGCCAAAAGTACCGTTACTTAAACACCATAAACAAGCACCAGTGCAGTATGTTAAGGATAATTAGTTATTTACAAGAAACATGTTTGCTGTCAATCAGCTTGCAGCAATTTCACTGCCAATTGGCATGTTTTCTGGTTACCTAAATACAGAAGTCAGCTGGGTGGCATGTTCTCCTCCTGACCCTGCTTGGCAGCCTTCTACCATGTACTGTACAATGTCTGTAGATATTTTTTTCACTGCAAAAGAAAAAATCACAAGATTCACACAGAGCTCTTGAACTGACCATCTGGAGAATGTCTTTCATGAAGACTAACATTTTTAAATGAGGGAAAAAAAAATAGGTTTCATCTTACTTTGATGCAAATGACTGTGAGAGCGGTTAGTTAGATTGGCTATAAAGAACAGAATGAGTCACAGATTTATGCAAAAGTTTTCAGCACCGTTATCCTTTAAACCTGCAGATTTTTAAGTACACTCTGGTCTTTTTAAGTCAAAACAAAAGAGATACAGACATAGTGGAAATAGAGAGTTTTTAAAAAATGTAAGTTCTGTTTATATTTTTAGCATTCCTATTTGATTTAAAAGAAAGGTAGTATTAGCACATTATATCCTGCCCAAAGTTAAGCAGATGTACTCTGTACTTTCAATGGATATTCTCCTGAAATCCACTTTTTTTAAGGGGAACCCCCCCCCCAAAACCTTATTATTTTCTTACTAATCATTTTCAAATAATAAATACTCAAATTACAAGATACAGCTCTTCCTTCAAAAAGGTGGAACTGAGCTGCAAGGACTTTTTCTAGAAGGGTTAGCTAGTGGCTGAAGCAGCTCAAGATTTCCAGCACATTCTACTCCCCAGCACACTGCAATGTGGGTACTGTCATCTTCCAGCAGATATGGCTGTGATGGCAAAAGGGGGAAGAAAACTTTGTGATGATTCAGCTAATTTCCTAAGCTCATCTTGTCCTTGAAACTATTATAGACCAGAATCAAGAAGTATTTTATTATAGAGAAAATTCTGGGGAGAAGTCAGAGGTGAATCCCAATTTTGCTTAATGCCTCTACTAGCAGCAAGAAGTGGAAATTTTGAGCTCATGCACATTCATTATACAAGGGTAGGGTGAACAGAGTGCTTCATTTTGTAAGAAGCTAAAAATAAAGTTCTTGCTACGAAACAAAGCATGCTAAAAGAAGACAGAAGACTCAAAGATGCCTTCAGAGAGCAACATGCTACTTTTAATCCATTTATAATGCCTCTTTGGGGAGAACATACGCTAGTCTTATTTGGTCTCAAGACTTTAGGTGGAAGAAAACTTCCACAGTTGCCAAGTGTGGAGAAAATTAGATGGGGAGGATGGGGAGAAAGGAAATGCTCTTCAGATATCTGAGAAGTTGATTAGTTCATGAGAAACGAAATAAGGAAGGACTTCTCTGCCTCAGAGACAGAAGTCCCAGACCAGTTAATGAAAAAAAAGAAAGCTTTTCCACTTTAGCTGCTAGATTATCTTATTTGCCTCATCTGAGAGTCTTAAATATTGAGATGAAAGATACTCAGCAACACAAAAATCTTACAGGTGTGGAGGGATGTACTTAAAGCAAACAAGCAGCTCACCTTGTAGCTCGTTAACCAACAGCATGCATTTCAACACAGCTGGGAGAGCTGAGTCAATGTCACAGAGTTCAGTGCTCTGGGTTCTCTGAAGCACTTCAAGAAGGAAAGCCAGAACGGAGGCCAAGCGAGGAGGGGGAGCAATACCTTTGAACTGCAGGTAGTTTTCACTAAGAAGACAAAGCAAACCAGAACAAAGTCTGTAACTTGTGGGTTTTTTTTCATTCAATGCAAGCCCCATACACCTTAAAACAGCTGTGATATTTCAGTATTATCTTTATCTAGGCTCAAATAATAGCTTCTATTTGTCTTAGTCTGAGCGATGACTCCCAGTTTGTCAGAGGACAGTGATGCTTTCTGACTCCTCTGTTGAGAAGGAAGTGAGAAATAATAACAGCTATTATAATTACAGTTAAAAAGCCAAGTGTGACTATAAAGTTAAAATAAAAAACCAGCTTCATAACAGAATTGAACATGTGAACGAGTGGAGATTCTAAGATCCTAAACCAACACCCATAACAGAGCTGCTATTCAATGATGATATTTAGCTCTAAGTGCTTTTGTAAACTCACAATCCAACTTGTGCTAACAGCTCAGCTGTTAAACAGGTACTGTTATCTCATTTTTGGCATGTTGTCATGGGACAGCCAATGAGTGCTTTTGCTCTGTCAGAATTAACACAATCATCTCCAGCATAAAATCCAGCACAAAGATAAAAGGTGACCTGTCCATTTGCAACAAGAGCAACCTGACATCACACACATTGAGTGTTCCAATTTGAATAGCCTGATTTGTTCTTTTTCCACAAAGCATACAGGAATCTGAACTACTGTTGGTCTGACATCACAAATTACTGAAACCTGAAGACAGTAAGTTTAAATCGAAGCACTCAGGAGAGAAGAGTGCAGGTGAAAAGAACACAGCATTTACTCATCAGTCAGCAAGAGCTCTCCCAGAACCTTCACAAAAAAGCTTTTTAGGTATTTAATGTTAGGTATCATTATCTACTCAAGCAAGGTATGCATGTTTACTGAGAAATGCATCAATTAACACCCACCACAGAATCACAGAATCAGGCTGGAAGGGACCACAATGAGACATCTGGTCCAATCTCCCAACTCCAGCAGGGTCACCCTAGAGCACATGGCTCAGGATTGTGTCCAGACAGTTCTTGAATACCTCCAGTGAGGGAGAATCCACAGCCTCTCTGGGCAATCTGTTCGGTGCTCAGTGACTGCACAGGAAAGAAGTTCTTTCTCATATTCAGGTGGAACTTCCTGTGTATCAGTTTCTGCTGTTACCTCTTGTTTTATTGGTTTCCACCATCAAGAAGAGTCTGATCTTCCTCTTGGCACTTCCCATTCATGTACTTGAATAAATTAATGAGGTCCCTCTCAAGCCCATTCTTGTTAAAAACTTAGTAAGGGTTGCTTCTACAGCTCTCACATGAAACCTGACTCTCAGAGCTCTGGGTACTTCATTGCACAGCTTCAGAGCACTGGTGTGACTTGGCAAATGGAAGCTGTAATACTTTACTCCTTTATTTCTTACATCACATGGTCTTACTCACTTTAATATTAGCAACTCCGCAATCTTCTATCCCATTAATTACTCTGAAAATTTCATACAAATTTTTCTTTGGGGTGCACTGCCCCTAAAACAGCTCTCTGCCCTGGCTAATATCACGTGGTTCCATTTCCCCTGTGCAGCAGCAATACTCAGTAGCTTTCAGACAGCAAAATGGGCAGCGAGATCTGTACGTGTTTGTGTGCAGCCCCAGCAAATGCCTCCTGACCACCCAACAGTTGGCAAACCACAGTGCTGCTCAGTTCTAGCACATTCTTCCCAGATCACTAAGGAAGGTTTCACATCTTACAAACCACCAAGTGTTGTTACACCTTTGGAACTTTGTTTCCACTATCAATCTCAGTGTTCACACATGCAGGCACACATTCAAAAATAACTTTATTAAGATGACGAAGTTTGAGTATCCATAAGTTAAAAACATGTCAGGAATTAAGGTTGTGAAATCTTAATTCACTCCCTTAATATGTGACAATACAGGCTTTGCTTACAAGATTGCCTATCATATTTACCCGAGATGAACATTCTTTTTTTAACCACCATGTATACACACTCTAATAAAGTAAAATCCAATTACCTTGTATTTGAGGGAGTTTAATTCCCTTCCCAACATGGACAAAAAGTACAGATTGTTCACTGTTTTGCAGTATATAAAACAATGCCTCATCCTTTCAGCAGCAGGGACACAGATTTATAGCTGCTGTTCATAGAATCATCAAGGCTGGAGGAGACCTCTAAGATGCTCAACTCCAACCATTAACTTGCCACTGCTGGAACCCCTAAACCCTAAACCAGATCCTCCAGTGTCAGATCCAGATGCCTCTTAAACATTTCCAGGGATGGCGACTGCACCACCTCCCTGGGCAATCTATTCCAGCATCTGAACAGCCTAACGAGGAAAAAATTTCTCCTAGCATCCAATCTGACTCTCCCCTGTCTCAGCTTATGACCATTCCCTCTCTCCTCTCCCTGCAGCCCTGGCAGGACAGACATCCCCCACCTCTCTCCAACCTTTCAGAGTTGTAGAGAGCCATGAGGTCACCCCTGAGCCTCTTCTCAAGGCTAAACAAACCCAACTCCATCCCTTCCTCATACAATAGACCTGTTGATACCGTGCAAGTAGTGACAGCACAGTGAACAAGTCCTGTCTCTCTGCCTCTATGTCCTCCTCTTCCCACAGCCTCAGATTTCCATTTCCCCTGGGGAGCTGTCACACCTGTGTATACCCTGACAGAGAGCAGTGAGACCCTCCCATGATGCAGCCTGACACAAACATATGATGATGCATATTGCAGCATAATTTTTCTAGAAAAATCCTTGCTTTTCATGTAGCACCATGCAATATTTTTTTCTTATAGCCTAGGAACTTTATCCTTCATCACTTTCTCCCAATTTTACTCTCCTGAAGTATACACATTGCCCTTCCTTTGCTCCCTGCCCAGCAACTCACAGGCTCTTCCTACAGCCATGCTACCAACTAACTGAGAAGAAAACAATGACATTCCCTTCCTCATTAGCTGTTTGCTAAATCTCAGTAAGTGATGCCTTTTATTTTACTGGTCCTTACTTGATGACATGCAGAGTGGTCTTCCGTAGCCGGAGCATCTGGGGGGCTGAAATGGAACTGCACAAAGCAGTCAGCATAGGATGCTGTCCAGCACCAGGAGCAGTTGGAGAAGAAGGCAGAAATCGTCCAAAATACTGTTGAATAATGCTCCCAAGGAGTTGATTTAAATAGGCACCCTGTGTTTGAGACTGACAGCATATAAAGGACAGGCCCTGTAAAAAAATAAATTTAGAATGTGAGAAATTGAATCCGTTTTTAACAATACTTTGGAATAAATCTTTAACAACTGTAGGCTAAATACTCACTATGTGCTGTGTAAACTGCTGCACACAGAGTAACTGGTGTTCAAGGCCAGGCTGGATGAGGCCTTGGGCAACCTGCTCTGGTGGGAGGTGTCCCTGCCCAGGGCAGGGGTTGGGACTAGGTAATCTGTAAGGTCCATTCCAACCCTTAAAATTCTATGATTCTAAGAACTACTGCCTGACAAATAAGCATCAGTAATTTGCTGCAGATATAATGGTGTACCAATGAAGACAGAGTCAGGCAAGGCTTGCAAAGAAGAGAAAAATCTTTTACTCGACTAATGAATATATTGGAAGGTAAGTTTTGGGACATACAAGTTCCCTTTCAAATTCAAAAATAAAACCTTGGCATTTCAGATCTGAGAAAGTTTCTGTACCCAAAAGCTCCTCATTTCTTTTTCAAGCCTGTATGTGATCTAACAAAGTATATTACTCAGGTAAGGTTTAAGAAGGGAGAGGAAGAATAAATACCTTATCTGTTTGTAAAGGACTGTGTGAAATTTTTGAATGATGTAGCAGAAAAATCAGCACCTAGACTTGAGCTCTGACAGGAAAGAATTTGCTGATAATCTGAACAAATTAGGGTGAATTAGGCACTATTTATAAGGGATTTAGAGGGAGTTTTAAACTCTGTTTTAAGATAAGGCTAAAACTGCTGTGATTTATCCAATATAAGCTATATTGATCCAGAGAAAAATCTATAATGAAAGCACTTGCCCACAAAGTGCTTATCTGAACTCTACCTGCAGTTACACAACATATACATTGGTCCATCCCTGAAAGAAGAGAGTAGTATTCTTACTGGTACAAGTTGCCATAAAAGAAAGGTAAGATCTTGTTTCCTTCCTCCTCTTTTGACTACTGAGAGGAAGAAGAACAAATCACTAAGAAAAAAATAAAAAGGTCCTGTGATATCCTATCTCAAGGGTCACAGTCAGCAGCACAAACAGAAGCCTCTTGAGAATCCAGTTTTCACAATAGTTTTGTATGACAAGAATAATGGTGTAAAACAAGGTCAAGCAGAGTTCCCTAGACAGCAACTTCAACAGTACTTCAAACTTCCATTAGCATTGCAATCCAGACTCCAGTTTTGGTAGGAGGAGTATCTGCCTGAATATTTATGGCTGCTGAGGTAAACTAATGCCCCTGATAGAGGAAAGAACAGTTCAAGTCAAGCTGCTTTTGTTCCCCAGCTACTGACAAAGAGTATTTCTGCTGCTTTTTCCATAGGTGTCCCTCCCCAGAAACGTTTTCATCTATACCTGCCTGTGTGAATGTGACAGACAATTCTTTCAGGCAAAAAAAGCAGACTGAGACATAGCACTTGGCACCTTCTTGAAATGAGGACTTCCCACAGTAAACAAGCACAGGAAACATGAGGCTTCAAGGAATGAGGTGCTTCAGGACCTGCCTGAAGACTTGCCATAGGGTGACCCTCTTGAACACAGTTGGGTTGGGTGAAGGGTTTAACTGTACACACTTCTAGGGCTCTTGGGAATTTTTAGCAAGCCTCAATGGTAAAAAACACACTTCTGACTGAGGCTTTGATAAAGAAGTTCAGATTCTCTCCTCCTTTTGTGTACAAAGAGCAAACTTTTGTAGGAAAAAGCAGCTGCTACTCTATCAGAATTCTTAAAAACACTTGTTTGGCAAGTAGCAGACTCAGAGAGACTGTTACAGATGACAGACTATTTAGTGTGTAAGCTTAAGTGTTTGATGTTTTCAAGGAGATGCTGCAGCAGGCATAAAGAAGAGTTGCCTTTCTATAGTAAAGCTCATGCAAAAAGACAGACTGTATTCCATAATCCAAATATTGGAACTGGCACTCTTAAGACTCTGGACTGTTTGAACATTTTAAAAAAACCCCAAACACCTGTGACAAAGTGTATTAATCTGTCTGATAAAAGGGACACAGGGAAGATCACAACCTTATAGAGGATAACTGGAGGAATACATAACAGCACCTATGAAGAGCTAACAATGATAGTGACTAAAATAGTTACTTCTTCAAACTGAGGATCAACAAATGCTATACACTGTCAAGAAAAAAAAAATCAGTTATGATTAACTAGTAAGAGTTACTGTTTTTCATAAATGATCCCGGAGATATTTAATAGGTGTGATAGGAAGACTAAAATATTAGAATTTAGATATCTGAAGGAACCCTGACTAATAATTTCATTTGCAGATGAATCAACAAACCCAGCCTGATCCTTTATAAAAACATTTTAATTGTTTTGAGTTGAAGTAAATTGATTCTGGAAACTGCATCTCAAAAAAATAGAAAAGAACTTGGGTTTCTCTTTTGGACATGAAGGCCCAATGGCTTCACCTCAACACTCTGACCTTTATTTGGACTCCTCCTTTTCTTTGTAAAGTGCAGAGAGCAACAGACCTTCACAAGGTCTAACAACATCATATCCCAAGTGGAACAAAGGATAAATTTCCAACACTGCACAGTAGCTGCAAATCTCCAGGTACAATGGCAAAACACCCTAGGCAGTGCTGGCCAAGGATGTGCTATGAGGTAACCACAGGCAAATTTCTTCTTCTAGATCCCACCACTAATTAACAGAGATGAAAGAAGCTACTGTTCATATGAGAGAGAAAAGAAACACATGCTACTGGACTGCAGTTCTGGACCAGAGATCTGAAATCAATCAACCACCCCCAAGGACAATCCCTACAAAGCACATGGATTTTAAAGGGTTGATAGAGCCACTTGCTTTTCCTTAACTATATTCTTTAGCCATTTTCTGAGGTTAAAAGAAAGACATTTTAAGGGGAGCAGAGAGGCATGACATCATTTGCTCCTCATTTTAGCAGTAAGGCAACTGATTCCTGTGCATGTTCACTGCAGGAACTGTTTGTGGCCAGAGCTGCTTCTTTCTCCTGATTTATCTGTATATTTGTAAATCACCTGTGGAGAGCAAAGAACAGATTCATATGGATTACTGGAACTCTTCACTGCAGAAATGCCAAGCTACCTAATGATGACTTATCTTATAAGTCCTGCTGTTGGAATAAATCTGCTGCTCACCAATTAATGTTGTACAATTCCTATTAAATACACACCATAATTCACAAACTGTATTAATAAGCTTGCTCAAATATCAGCACACATATGTGGCTCATGGGAGGGCATTTCAGGTCTGATCTCTGACAGATGCTGAGCCTGCACAGACCCATTAAAATCACTGCAAAATGTATGTGCCAAACACTACTTAGAATTAAGCTCTTCTAACTACTATCTGTATATATTAAAATCACTGCAAAATGTATGTGCCAAGCACTACTTAGAATTAAGCTCTTCTACTACTCTCTGTATATAGAGAGAAATTAACCATCTTCTGTATTTGGGCAAGATTAACACTGATAAATCAAGCAGGGTATCTAACCTTTCCTATTCTTATGCATACGATGCTTATTCCATGCACCCACCCTGTATTCTGCAAGATATATTGAAACTGATATTTCTTCTCAAAAACCACTTCTGTAGACTGCTTCAGTTCTTTCCCATGCTGCTGGTAAATGTGTATGAAAATTCCTCCAAATCACTCACCAAGAAATCCATCCAAGAGCAATCTCAAGCTGAAAAATTCCTATGGAAGATTTCAGCAATCCACCATCACACAAATCAACTCAACAACTGCATGAGGCCTTGGGCAACCTGAACTAGTGAGGAGGTGTCCCTGCCCATGGCAGATAGGGTTGGGACTAGATGTAAGGTCAATTCTAACCCTTAAATTCTATGAACTTCTTTTTTACAGTAGTGACATACCTAAGGTTAAATTTTACATGCCTCACTATCTCATAATTAGGAACAGTGCCATAAAATTGTAAAATTGCTGTTCATTCATATTCTTCTTGCTTTCCTTTCCAACGTCCATAATTCAAACAATGCTGAGGACAATTTTTATATTATAATCCAATAAAATCTTTCTTGGCTCATCAAATATCATCAAAACAGATGATGCACAGTGAAAGACACAGTATCCAGACAGCAACCCTTTAGGCAATGAAAAGAAACCTATTTCAAAAGTTGCTAGAGCAAAGCTATTTTGACAAGGCAGATGTTGGAAAACAACTTCTAGATAAGCTCCATGTAGAGTGGAGGACAGAGCAGCTGCCCAGTAACTGCCAAAAGGCACAGCTGTATGGCCCAGATTTCTATACACAGTAAACACAAACATAAGTAAATACAGCCCATCTGAACTGAGGAGAGATGCAATGCCTGGGCTTAATGAGCACAATTTGACAATTATTTCTGCTTCTGTAAAAATCAAACAAAGCCTCTAATTTTACCCTATTCAAACTAAACCTGTAGCTTTGGGGTCGTGAAGGATGGTGAGATACAATCATTGGCTTGGATGAATTGTGAAGGTAGTAATAAACTATGCTGTGGGAAGAGAAGGAGCTTCGTATGTTGTCCTAAAAGATGAAAACTTGGGTATGTGCCTTGTACAGTTCAGGAATTCTACAGGATTTGATAAGATTGCTGCATCAATGGATGTGTGAAATCAATTATCTGATAGTGAGACTGATTTCAAATCCTCATAAAAGCCACAAAAAGGATCAAATAAGCCACACTAAGAGCAGTTGTTAAAAGCTCTGGAAAAAGGGAGGATTTTTGCATAAAACTAGCATAACTAAGATGTTTTCTGAGATTACTGCATGTAGTTCTGATGTCCTCAACCTAAGAAGGATATGGAACTCCTGGAGCAAGTCCAGAGGCCATGAAGCTGATAAGAGGACTGGAGCATCTCCCCTATGAGGACAGGCTAAGGGAGTTGGGGCTGTTCAGCCTGGAGAAGAGAAGGTTGTGTGGAGACCTCAGAGCAACTTTTCAATATCTGAAGGGCCTACAAGGAGCTGGAGAGGGACTCTGTGTTAGGAACTGCAGTGACAGGACAAGGGGTAATGGGTTCAAACTGAAGCAGGAGAAGGTAAGGTTAGATATTAGAAAATCGTTTTTTCCTGTTCTGGTGGTGAGACACTGGCACAGGTTGCCCAGGGAGGCTGTGGCTGCCCCAACCCTGGCAGTGTTCAAGGCCAGGTTGGATGAGCCTTGAGCAACCTAATCTAGTGAGGAGGTGTCCCTGCCCAGGGCAGGGGGTTGAGACTAGATGATCTCTGAGGTCCATTCTAACCCATAAATTCTATGATTCTATGATCTGAAGAAGGCTTTATTGGACAAAGAAGGAGCAGCCCCCACTAAAGGAGCTGAAGGAGAAGAAAAAGACTGAGATGGAGCCTGGAACGTTTGAGAAGACTGTAAAGAAAATAGAAATTAAGAAACTGGGAAGACTGCTGAGCAGAAATGCTACTCAAGGGCTTTTATACTTTGACTATGAAGACAAAATTTGCATGTATAAGAAGATATTTTGCATGATCTCCAAATTCCTGTTTCTTTATTTTCATGTAACTGCCAAAGGATTAAGTTGTAAGCAAGAGCATTACTGGGGACAGATCTCTAGGACAATGTTTGTCTAACATTAGGGTGACTTAAGGCTCCTGAACTAAAATATCAGTGCTCCAACTACACAAATGAGCACCAGGCACAGGGCAGCCACCCAAGGAGGGTCTGATCACACATTAAACCTCCAGTTTAAGTGAGGCAAGTTGAGATTATTCCCAAGGAATTCTGTTTCTCCATCTTTCCTCCCACCACATTTACATGTTTTCCCTCCCACGTATACTATTTTCTCACTTTTCTGATAAGCCCATTTGGGGTTTTAGTTTTTGTTTGTTTGTTTTGTGGGGCTAGTTACTATTTGATTCTGCTCACAAATCACCATTCACAGAATCATTACAGCAAATTAAACTGGAATGCACATAGTGGTGAAAGGGAATGAATTTAGCCTTAAGCCAACTGTGAAACAATAACCTGAGATGTCACAGAATCCATTCAAACTCAAAGATCTCAGAAGAGCTGTTGTTTTCATTTTCAAACTGATCTTGAAATATTTTTGAGTTTCAGTCAACCAAATATTTGAGTCAAAATCAATATTTTGAGTCAACCCTAAATCAGAAGTTTTCCACTTCTCCAAATAAAAGGAAAGGGAGTATTTTTGAATGAATGACGCATTTTGAAGCTCTTTTAAATACTGGAACTTTGTAAATACAAACAGTTGATGAAATGTAGAAGTCCCATCTTGAAAGAGGAAATATAAGTCAAGAATTCTCCTCTTTGTCTTCTCTCCCCAGAAGTGTTTGCCAAATGAAAGAACGACGTGTTTTCTAGAAGCAGCATTTGTCCAAAATAAACTTTTTGGCCAAATAAGATCACCTAGCACAGCTGCAAAGCACATGGACTATGAAGCAGACTGCTGAAGAGTACAAAAGTGAGGTCAGGAAGACACAAACGGACAAAGAAAACAGGAAACAAGGGCCCACAACACTTGGACTTCGAGACCAACTCAAGTGGTTTCATCTTGAGTCTACATCCGACTGTGCAGCCTCAAGAGAAACAGCAGCTCTCCAACTAAAACGCTAAATTAGCAAACAGACAGTCACGCTCTGCGGTAATATCATTGTCCAGATGGTCCTCCATGTATATAGCTTCTGAAAATACCTACAGAGCAGCAAAGCAAGCCACATTCTGCACATCATTATGTAATCATATTCACTTCCATATGACACGCCATCGATCACAATGCAACTGCTTTGGAAAGGAATAAATCCCAGGGATGTTTACAGTGTCTTCGCTGTGTTGTTTCATAATACAATCCTGCAAAATAGTCAGCTAAGACTGCAATCAAAACGAAAAGGGAAGGGAAAACAGTAAGCGAAAAAGACCCAAGGATTTACAAGGAAAACACATCAACGTATTTGTTTTAAAATCCATCGATCACAATGCAACTGCTTTGGAAAGGAATAAATCCCAGGGATGTTTACAGTGTCTTCGCTGTGTTGTTTCATAATACAATCCTGCAAAATAGTCAGCTAAGACTGCAATCAAAACGAAAAGGGAAGGGAAAACAGTAAGCGAAAAAGACCCAAGGATTTACAAGGAAAACACATCAACGTATTTGTTTTAAAATACACTCTTTTCTCCACCAGCAGTGCAGGAATTGGTCTCTTTCTACAGCATCAACAAGCCTTACAGAGTTTCAAGAGTGATAGGGAAGCTGAGGGAAGAATAGGAGGAATAATGTGTAACAAAGCTTTAGTCATGTAAGCATAAGCAGCAGGAACTTGATTCAGCAAAACATATTCTCAAAGCATTAAGATAAATCAGTGCCATAATACGCAGAGGATTTTCTTTTGTTCTCAAGAGCAAGGAAAAAAAGGGTATCTCATGTATAATTATCTACAGTTAGCCAAGTCAAAGATGATTTAAAACATTTGTTTGCCCTGTCATCTCGACAAGTGTCTTACTACACATTATGACTGTTTGATCCACTGTTTCAAAAATCTCTCACATCAGAGAACAGTGTAACCAGCAGGTTGGCTAAAAGCTTCTATATCAAGAGATGAGCCTAGAAGCTCTGGAACGTGCCACAGCATAGCTGCATGCAATGAGAGGAAAGCCAAGGGGGTGGCAATTTTCCTTCCACTTCTGTAAGAAGAAAACAACTCCTCTTGCTGCTTCTTTACATTCAATGTTTGTTTTGATTAGGGAAAAAGAAAGCATCCTCTGCAAGATGAATCTTTTCCTGAAGATAGGTTTGTCTGCTGATAACAGGGTGCAGATATTTACCTGAAGATAAAGAGGCAAGCTCTCCTGAATGGCAGACAGCAAAGCCACAGGCAGCTCTTTGTCCTGCTGGAGCACAGAGTGTGGCAGCAGTAAGCAATCCACAATGCGAAACAAGAGTTGCTGGGCCTTGGAAGTTGCCAATATTGGAGCCCAGAACTTCACCAGACATCCTGTTAAAAAAAAAAAAATAAAAAAATCCCAAAGCCATAAACTTAGATAATCCAAGAGTAGCAACAGCAACTGAAATGTCTCACTCCCATGTACCCATTCCATGACACCTCCTTGGAAAAAGCCCAGTCAAGATGACTCAAAAGTCCATTTACGGTTCATCAAAATAAAAGTACTCAATTAAGCTTTTAGGCAAGTGAAGCTGCTGTAGGAAAAGTACAGCAATGCTAAAGAAAGGACAATCTCTTACATCCCTGCAGAAAACTTACCTAAACTTGACCCATAAGACTATTGCAATCAGCACTGAAGCATTTTGCTGTGTGCACTCATCACATTTTGCAGACAGGCAGTGCCTTTGCCTTTCCTTTGCATATATCTAACACTCTCTGGCCACATCAGCAACTGCTCACACAGTAATTCAGTGTTAGGAAAACATTACATATCTTTCAAATTGTATTTAATTTCAGCAGATTAAAAAGGATGAGGAGCAGCCAAGTCCATTAAACCAGCATGGTCTCTCCAGATCTCTGTGGGCTCTCAGTTCACAAATTGAGAGCCTCAAACAGCATCTTTCTTGTTTTCAACACATTAACGTATCACTTGCCCAGCTTTGAGCCAGTTTGAAGATCTTTCTTCTGACTTGAAAAAAAAAAAAGGCAAAAAGGTGTTGATGTGTAAATACCCTAACTTTGAGAAACATCTTTATTGTAGGTGAGGTGTAATTTTTCTTAAGAAAATAACTCGATACTCAGGAGTGTTAACACCCAACACACAGATTAAATAAAACAAGATGCCTATGTAGTAGTTCTCATGGACATTGTTAACTTTATATTTAATTAGAGGGGAGAAAAAGTTTGCCAGGTTGAAAATACAGGAACATCCCAAGCAAACGTGTTTAAGACTTTGGAAATAATGAAAAAAACACAAAGATAGGCTGTTGCAAGATATTATTAATCTATAAAAGTCATTCATTACCATCTCTAAAACCAACGCAAAACAACATTAATCTTGTGGAGTGAAAGAAAACACAATGATCAATCATAGGGAACGAGGGAAAGAGAACGATCACCTAACAATACTTCTAATAATGTTGTCTGAGCTTCCTGCTTTGAAAGAAACATGGTCATTCCAGCTAAAAATGCTCCTTCTATTATCGCTGCTGTGATGTATGGGACAGTACAAGACACAATCTGACCACAGACAGGAGGTGTTTAGATTTGTTAAGTTTCTTGCTTTGTCCTTATAATTTAACATGCCACAGAATGTGCAGCAGTGATGGAAATACACTGCAATATTTCCTTTCTTTTAAACTTCTTTTTATGTTTTCTTAACTAAAAAGAAAGGACAATTTCTCGCACGCAACAACATGACTGAAGATTAATTGTTTCCTACTGCAAAGAACAGAAAGGAAAATACCAATCTGAAAAGGAAAACACCAATCTAAAATTACTTGCCAAGGGTCCAACTCACATCTGTATATCTAAGAACATTAATTTGACATGTTATAGGTATCAAAATATGCTGATCTTGCAATAGAAAACTGTTTTATAAAACTCAGATTCCTGTTCGTTTGATGCAGCTTCTGCATCTTGGTCATGATTTCACTGTACTCCTTATAATCATGATGGACACTGTGTGTGCATGCAAATCATAGAATCATAGAATCAGCCTGGTTGGAAAAGACCTCCAAGTTCAAGCCTACTGTAGTTACTAGACCATGCAGTTACTAGCCCATGGCACTAAGTGCCACATCCAGTCTCAGCTTGAAAACCCCCAGGGATGGGATTCACCTCCCTGGTAGATCATTACCTCTGTCTCTCAGATACATAAGGTTTACCCTGTTTTTAAAGGAAACTGGCACATTCATTGCTAATAAACAGCACTCTCATTTTTCCATCATATCAGTGGCTCCACACTTTAATGAACAAATTGAGGTTTAGTAAATTACGGAGTGTCTATAAGAGAAGAAGGCAATTCCTAAGCTGACTTGGCCACTAACATAACTCCATTAAATATGATGTAGCCTATCATAATCCTGCTTTTCATAGACGAAACTGGCACATTCATTGCTAATAAACAGCACTCTCATTTTTCCATCATATCAGTGGCTCCACACTTTAATGAACAAATTGAGGTTTAGTAAATTACGGAGTGTCTATAAGAGAAGAAGGCAATTCCTAAGCTGACTTGGCCACTAACATAACTCCATTAAATATGATGTAGCCTATCATAATCCTGCTTTTCATAGACCATCCTGACTTGGAAGGGACCCACAAGGATCACCAAAATCCCTGGACCTCCTCATAATCCTGCTTTTCATAGACCATCCTGACTTGGAAGGGACCCACAAGGATCACCAAAATCCAATTCCTGGACCTCCACCCCAAGAATCACACCACGTGTCCAAGAGCATTGTCCAAATGCTTCTTGAACTCTATCAGGCTTGATGCTGTGACAGCTTCCCTGGGGAGCTGTTCCAGTGCCCAAACACCCTCTGGGTGATGAACCTTTTCCTAATATCTAACCGAAACCCGTTGAAGAACATAGTTTCAAATTGCACCTTACCCCTCCACATTGGCCCTAACCAAATCTGCCTATAGTTTGCTGAATTCTACGACCCCTTGGCTGCACTTCATCTCTACTTTTACACTATACAAAGACTGAACAAATCATGTAAATTAGTGATTAGTAGAGTGATTCCCTCTGGCAAACCAGGTTATTCCCCATAGCTTAGATACCTGACACTAAGATGTGGCTTCAATCCACACAGAATTCTTTCAGAAGGCTGTACACCTACTTTTATGCTCTGTAGGAAAAATTCAGAGCTTATCACTTTCATTTAAAACAGGAGTGGGCAGAGGAAGGAGACAACAAAAGACCTCATATGAAAAGATCTCACGCCCCTTTATGGGAAGAACAGATCCACTGAGGGAGATACCTGACACTAAGATGTGGCTTCAATCCACACAGAATTCTTTCAGAAGGCTGTACACCTACTTTTATGCTCTGTAGGAAAAATTCAGAGCTTATCACTTTCATTTAAAACAGGAGTGGGCAGAGGAAGGAGACAACAAAAGACCTCATATGAAAAGATCTCACGCCCCTTTATGGGAAGAACAGATCCACTGAGGGCATTGTTGTGGTTTAACCCCAGCTAGCAACCAAACATAGCCACTCCACTCACACACTTCCCCCCCAACGGGATGGGGGAGAGAATCAGAAGGGGAAAAGCTACAAAAATTCATGGGTTGAGATAAAGACAGTTTAATAGAGAAAGCAAAAGCTGCACATGTACAAGCAAAGCAAAACAAGGAATTAATTCACTGCTTCCCAAAGACAGGAGGTATTCAGCCATCTCCAGGAGAGCAGGGCCCATCACGCGTAACGGTTCCTTGGGAAGACAAATGCCTCCTTCCTCCTTCTTCCTCCCACCTTATATCCTGAGCATGATGTGCTATGGTTTGGAATATCCCTTTGGTCAGGTTGGGTAACCTGTCCAAGCTGTGTCTCCTCCCAATCCCCCATGCATCCCCAACTCCCTTGCCAGCTTGGCAATTTGGGAAGCAGCAAAGGCCTTGGCTCTGTGTGAGCTCTGCTCAGCAATAACAAAAACATCTCTATATTATCAACCTTGTGTCCAGCACAAATCCTAGGCACAGCCCCATACTAGCCACTGGGAAGAAAGTTAACTCTGCTTCAGCTCAAACCAACACAGGCATAAATTGCTGTAACTTCAGGAACTGCTATGACTTACAACAATCCTCAGTACTGCTAAACAGCCCAAAACCAACTCTTGTCACTGTTTCTGGGTGGCTTTTCACTAGTGAAAGATATGAAATCATTTTCCTTTAAGAAAATCCATGGAAGAAAATTAAATACCTAACTAACATCTTGATGACTTTCTTTTTTAAACCATTAAATAGTATAGAGAAAAAAAACATATATATGGAGAGTATAGAGGGAAGAAAAAGTATTAAAAGCTTGTTTTACTGATTCCTTAAAACTATTTCCTAAAGGAAAAGAGGTTGCAAAATAATTACCTATGATCCAATATGTAAGCTGCAGACCTTCTGGAGGTCCTTTTGCCTTCAGATAAGGTTTGACATACTTTAATACATCACCTAAATACTCCAGAGTCTTTGCTACCATGGCAGATTTCTCAGGGAGTGTCTGAAGGCCACTGTAAGTTCTACCAACAGCCTGAGAAAACAAAAACAATAAAATAAACATAAACTTACTAAGTCCCTTATACGATTATTTTTTTGAGCAATTTCTTTTTCAACACCCCAAATCTGATACACAATTCATCTTCACTAAAATTGTCCCATGAAGCTAACACAGAGATAGATGTACAGTACCTTAATGAACTGGACAAGGGCAAGTTTTGGGTCTTGCTTGAAACCTGACTCTTCAACATGAGCCTTTGAAAGAATGTTTTCTACTTCAGAGAGTTTAAAAATCAGTCTTGTCATTTCAGTCAGCTGCTCCATATAGACTTTCCCTGGTTGTTACAAGAGAGCACAGCAGTAAATACAGTATACAGTTATGTATTTCAGATTTACTTTAGTCCCCAAATGATAAAGTGAAACACTATTTTTAAATGTCCAAAATACAAGGATTCTGCAACCAAGTGCATCTCTCCAGACAAAGAACCTATGTCCAAACTAGCTATTTTTCTAAGACAGTTATCACAGAGTAACAGAATTTTAGGGGTTGGAATGGAGCTTAGAGCTCACCCAGCCCCAACCCCCTGCCCTGGGCAGGGACACCTCCCACCAGAGCAGGTTGCTCAAGGCTCATCCAACCTGGCTGTGAACACTGCCAGGGTTGGGGCAGCCACAGCCACAACTAAGTATGGATAACCAAATCCTTCATTGTACTGATGGGGTGTTTTTTTCAAAATGTGTATGAGAAATAGTCACTACAGATAATTAGAACTGCAGTGTTTTTAGAAGAAGTATTGCTCCAAGAGAGCAAAATATCCCATATAAAAAAAAGGGCAGAATGAATTGCAAATAGATTTTTGTTTTACTTTTTTTTTTCTTTTTAGGCCACTCACAGCATGATTTCTGACTATTTACTTCAGATTTTCACTTTTTTTAGAACAGTTTCTCCATGGGGGAAAAATAGCTTGTCTCCTTGGGAGCAAGTTTTTATTCTTTGCTTCCAAGGAAACAAGCTCTTTTATCTTTGTTTGTGATAAATTTGTCATATGCAGAGCAGGCAAACTATCAATAAATAGCACAAGCAGTGTAAAGAAACACATTTTGTAATTAGGTAAAAGTAAAGGAATACAAACAAAAATACATTTTGTAATTAGCTGAAAATGTTTGCCAGCTTTGCAATATAGAATCGTTACTGCAAACATTAGGGAAATGTGAACACTTACCAACTGTTCGCTCAGCATCTGTCTTGGCCAGGATACCACTTGGTTGATCTATGAACATTTGCAAGATGCAGCGAAACCAAGAACGTACAGTCAGAGCTTCGTAGGATGTGTAGCCCATACTAGAAAAAGCTTCACGTAGTGAACTGCATAGGTAGAAGAGGGAGAAAAAGGTAGAGATCTAATAAAAGTAGGTAAAAAGGTGGCAGAGAGCTTCATGTGGTTGTAGACATATAGAAACAGTGCACAGGAATAATTAAAGTAACAGAAAGGCCAACTGGCATTGCTTTGGCATAGTCTACAGACTTTGCTCACATTACTCTGGTGCCTAAACACAGAGAACATGAGAAAATTGGTAACACCACCCATGGAAATATAAAGGCATTAAAGAATCATAGAACCAACAACGTTGGAGGAGACCTCTAAGATCA